AATAAGATTTATTTCACCAACTACCAAGTATAAATTTCTTATACCTATAACTAACTAAATAATAGTAACTTTTGTTTGAAAAATATTTTTATTAGATTCCTATATCAGCTACTGTAGAATCATGCTTACCGTGGGTAGTTAATGTATATATATTAATTGGAAAACTATAATTTTAATATTAAGTACCTTATATTACCTTATTATACCTTTTATTAGGTTACCTAAACTAATACCTACTAATCTATACATATAAAATTTAAATACCACTTAGTCACTGATCACTATAACTTATAAACTACGCAACGTATGAACTTTAAATTTGGAATAGATTTTTCTCATGTTTTGGCGTGTGATGGAAATTTTAAACGTGGTGCTATAGGTTCGCTACCCCTGATATAGACCATCTACCCCATTGGAAAATTTCTGTTCGCAAAACTGGTTCCCTATGTATTTGTAAATGTAAGAAAATTGTTTTTAATATACGTATATTTAYTAGCMACTAGGTATTAGGTATAACTGTATAAGCATATATATTTTTAGTAGAATATTTTAAGATTAAGTAGTCTTTTAAGACACTCACGATTTTATTTTGTTTGGTTTAATCAATGGTTATAGTTTTGAACTATTACTAACTTTGGCGGATATAATATATACTCAAGACGTCAAAAASTGACCTAATTATCATTACTTCTTGTCAAAGTCCATAATGGCCCAGTCATCAGACACTAACTATATAGTCATTCAATATCTTGCGATAATTTATTTTAAAACAAATTATTTTAATTGAAGAAGTTTTAAAGAGTAACATAAATAAAATAACTTTGCGTGGTGATGGTCAAAATTAATCAGTTCAAATAAATAAAATAGTATGGTAGGTACAATGTTATCTGATCATATTAAGCACGTAGTAAATAGTAATCAGWAAATTGTGTTAAGTTAAATTGTATCTGTTTCTCRATTATCTTTAATTAAAATAATTTCAAAAGTTAATTTTTTTAATTAATTATWTCGTTAGACTCAGAATTAGATACTACGTGTCTACATATTTCAAGTAGCAAGTACTTCGCAGGGGCGTCTCCAGACCTTTAGTATGGGGAGGTGTGATGAAATTATATAAAAAAAAATATATTAATTTACACGTTAAAACACGATTGATCATATACCTTTAAATATTGTATAATATAATATTATAACAATAATAAATTATTATATTATACTATATTCCATAAAAATTCTATGAGTCTATCACCGCGAATCCGTGTTTATGATAACAATATATATGGAGAAATATGGTATAATAATATAATTTCATGTAAAAAAAATATGTCAAGTACTTTAATAAAAATTGTAAAATTAACTAGTAATTGCTATGTAAGTCAGTCCACATTCTGAGGTGGTGGTCGCCCCCTTCGCTCCCACTACAGGGACGCCACTGGTACAT